GATGTTTCGCAGCAAATGCCTGCATGTTTTGGCTTTCTGTAGACTAACGATTGCATGTGCAGGGAGCAAACTTATTTTTTGAATGAAGCTCAGTACTGTCCTGAAACCTAAAAACATCAAAATAAATACCGCAGCCCCCTGCGAGTGAAATGAACCATTCACAAATGGACAGCCATGCTAGTCGGCAAGAACCATCTAAACAAGCATTGTCTTCACGTGTACCAGATTGGTATCTGAAAGATGGACGAAGGATGCATCTTGACATTCTGCCGTGCAGTTTTGCCCTAGGTTACAGCTACTCAAAGAGACTTAGAATCATAAGGGCCATTTGCACACGCTGACGGGAGCCGGCCGCCTGTGTCTAGACAGCCAGGAGCCTTCCGGCCTCTGTCATCTCCTGGCTGTCAGGACTGTGGCTTTGTGTCCTCTGAAAGTGTAAAATGAACTGTTTCATGGCTTGCCTCTGTCTTGGTTGCTAGAGATGTGTGAGGGCCCCGGCTGGCAGAGCATGGAACTGTTTCCCCATCACAGGCCCTATCTGTTCTGGGACTCCCTAACCACTGTGTCATAGTAGAGCCTGGAGGACCACAGTAGAGACTGTGTGCCTTTCCCTCCTAGTACATATAGAACATTATGGTTTAACTTCTGGCTGTTTAAGTCTATTAGTGACTTTAATTCTACTCCATCAAATGAACATGGCCTTATAAAGTGGAAACAGTTTAGGGGAACCATTGTTGTTGACATGGGCCTAAGAGGTACACTAGGACTTGTTGGAAACTGGAGCTTTGCAATAGAACCCTGGACCAGGATTTTGGTCCTGAGGTGTAAGGATCCACACCAAGTCTTCCTGTGGCCTTTGTATGTAGCTGCTAAGAAGATCGCTCTTTGTTTTAAGGTTGTTTTATAATCTAGACCACTTGTGGCCTCACTGTGCCATGCTTCTGTGTCTGTGGGCTGGAAAACGGTCCCCGTGCCCATTTCACATTTTACAATTCCCCAGGCCAGGTGACAAATGGTTTGTGTTTGTTAGACCTTCCAGTAACAGCCCAGTGTGGGCCAGGATATAGCCACAGGGTGTCCCCGAATGGCCAGTCACATGCTGGTTATCAAGCTGGGCCTTCTCTGGGGCTCTGTGCTCTGCAGACCTGTTCTATCCAAGGAAGTTGCTGCTGTGTGTTGGAAAGCGACCTCAGTGTTGTCTACAGTTCTCCAGTGCAGCCTGTTACCCAGGGCTGAATTACCCTGCCTCAGCATTCCTGGTACGTGTTATCTCACAGGTGTGTCCACTCCTGCGTCCGGGCTCTAAAACACCATATCTGGTGCGGCAGGACTCCTGCCTAGAAGTCTCAGGCAGCCAGCCCTCCTGTGGTCGTCCCGCAGACAGAGCAAAGAGGTCTGTGTTCTGTGTGAAAATCTCCTGAGCTGTTGCCAATATTTCTAGCTAAGGAGTTTTCTGAGGCAAGTCTGGTGCTTCTTCTTGTACCAAGCAGACATCTGGACACAAGGCCGCCTCCCCCCTGGACTGCTCTGTGTCCTCACTGCAGACTCTCAGCATGTCTGGCCATCCCACTTCTTCAGCCCGGTACTGGTCTCTGAGTTTGCTTGTGGGTTTGAGATTCACGCCCACCAAGCCCATCAGTTTTCCCCCTGCCTGGGAAGTGTTCTGGTCATGGATGCTTCCTGCCTGCTCTCACGGTAACCTACAGAGCCTCTTTCTCTGCAGCCAACTGCAGTATAGATTAAGGAGTGTCTTTGCATTTTCTGCAGCTAAGAGTGGTGGCCATGCTTTTGCTCACTCTGAACACGTGTTTTTTTTTTTTTCAGGGTTTTTGTTGTTGTTGTTTGTAGGAGTTTTGTTTGTTTATTTTTGGTTTGGTTTGGTTTGAGATAGTATCATTATTTAGCCCTGATTGTCATAGAACTAGCTAAGTACTGCACGTACTGGCTTTGTGGGAGCCTAGGCAGTTTGGATGCTCACCTTACTAGACCTGGATGGAGGTGGGCAGTCCTTGGACTTCCCACAGGGCAGGGAACCCTGATTGCTCTTTGGGCTGATGACGGAGGGGGACTTGATTGGGGAAGGGGGAGGGAAGTGGGAGGCGGTGGCGGGGAGGAGGCAGAAATCATAGATAGATAGATAGATAGATAGATAGATAGATAGAAAGAAAGAAAGAACTAGCTACGTAGACCAGACTAGCTTTGAATTCATAGACATCTGACTGCTTTTCCAACCCTGGTGTGGGAATAAAGGTTTGCACCAAGGTTGCCCAACTTGAATACATTATATTCTGTAGAAATTTGAGAGTCAGACAGGGTTCCCCAGGCTAACCCGAAAAGGAAGCCCCATCCTGTACCTTGGCTAAGCTGGAAATTCTTGGTAGCCTCAGAGCATCTCTGGAAACTGTGGAGTTCTATGAAATACCGAGATGCTGATCTGTTTAAACATTGTTCTGGAGGGAACAGGTGCCCATTGAGAACACCAGGTACCAGCCCTTCAGTTTTTGCTGTGAGAGCAGGTTGTTCACCGTAGCTGAGAACAGTAGAATTCACAGCCCCGTGCAATGGCAGGAATAGGAGGCCTGCCACTTCACTGTACGCTTGTCTTTATGCGGCCCACAGTCTTGTCTACAAGGGAGCCTGTGTCCCTTGGCCTTGCTGCCTCTGGCCTGTGTTTGGTGGGGAGCAAAAGAGTCAGCCAGCGCTCAGGAAGGTCAGGTGCTGGGCCACTTTAAGGACTTGCTGGCTACAGCTAAGACGTGTGTACAGGAAGAAGGTGAGGAGCTCCCAGACCCTTTCATAACCTTGAAGGGCTAAGGTGGAAGGATACATAATTAAGGCAGTGGTCAAGGCAGGAATGCTGAAGGAGGTAGCCCTTGGGCAGGTCAGTGTTCTTCAGGCCCACCTACTCTTCAGTGAATAAGCCAACAGTGTCTTCCAAGGAGCAGTAGGATTTATTCATGATGGTCAATATTCATGTCTTCCTTCTGGTAATATTATTTTCCTAGCATGAAAATAGATTACTCTGAAACCAGTAAGATGGCCCAGCAAATAAAGACTCTTGCTGCCAAGCCTGACGACCTGAGTTCAGTCCCTGGATCTCATATGGTAAAAGGAGAGGACTGATTCTTGCAAACTGTCCTCTGACCCTTCAGATACACGCACAGGTTCTCTCTCTCTCTCTCTCTCTCTCTCTCTCTCTCTCCTTTGCTCTCTCTCTCTCTCACACACACACCCATACACACATCCTCTGACTCTTCACACACACACTGTGGCATACATGCACACAATAAGTAAATGAATGTTAAACAAGAAATTCTTTTTTAAAAACTGGATCACTCTTTTAGTTCGCAGATAAACTCTGCGAGCCTCTGCGCGCCTCCCATCTGGCCAGTTTCTCCTCTTTTCCTCTGTAGCCTTCGCTGGTGGAAGGATAATGAGGAGTGTAGCGCTGGCTCATGAAAGTGCCCACAGTCCTCCCAAAGGAGTCCTGTTAGCCATCTGCGGGCGCTTGCTGGAGCAGGAAGGGACACGGCCTTCTGAAGCCTGCAGTAGCCCTAATCTTCTGGTGACATTGCAGTGACCCCCAGCCCTCTTTATTGTCGAAATTCCATCTGAAGTGGATGATGGGAAAATGTGAGCCCACTGGAGAACTTGGGTGTGGCTTTGTGTTGCTGGGTAAGAATGGAAGATTTCCATGGGGAGGGAACACGAGGGCTCCAAGGTTGTTGGTTTATTATTGTGTCCGTGGGGGTGACTCACTATCGCCTGTTTGTACCACACAGGGGAGCTTCTGTTGCTTTGGTGTACAGCAGAAACATTTTTCATGTCACTTTTTTCCACATGCTTTCTTAACATGATAAAATCCTATAGAGCAGTGACCTTCCAAAGGTTTCTTTGTGGGATGTTCAAATCTCCCAGTAACAGGTACTAATGGGCGAGATCCCCACGCTGGGATTTAAAGCTTGGTTATGATCTGAGTAAACACAGCTATATTCTCACAGTGTTGGTGATTTGCATGTGAGCTCCTTCCTGCCATGTGTTCAGACTGACCTGATCTTCTCCCACACTGAGATCCCTGGGGAAGAGCAGGATCAGGAAGCAGACAAGGTGCATTTGGGAACCTGTAATTTCTTGATTCCTAAGTCTGGCTGAATTAGCTAGTGTTAGGTACATGCCTTCCCAGCTATTGTCAGAATTATGACAGTTGATTGTTGGACAAGAGGTTTGCTCACTGCACATGGACAGCATTGGAGTGCACAGGAGTGGGCAACCGTGACATAAAAGCTGCAATTGGAGTGGAGGCAAGGTTTACTGGGAATTGGCACTTAGACCAGGAACACATCCACAGCAGCCATCCAGAGAAGGCGGTGCCACATGTGACTTCCAAAATATGTTAGTTTCCAGTTTCTGAAAGCTTTCCCAGAGACCTTAATGGACGTCATTAAAAACCAATTGAAGTGAATTACAGCTCACCCACCCAGTGTTGTTACCAAAGTTTGCAAATGGAATTTCAGTTTGAATAAATTAAAATTCTGTAAAGAAATTATAACATGAAGTTGTTGTGTTTATAAAATTGAGGTGAGAAGATCCTTGATCTTGATGTCTGTCTTTAATATATTACTCCTGGGTCTGGGGCCGGGGCTTAGTGGTAGGGTATTTTCCTTGAATATATATACAAGGCCCTGGATTCAACAAGCAAAGAATAGGAGCATCCTTCCATTAGGCACATCCCACTTGCTATGACTCAGTTCTGCGGAAGTTTGATGGACACCCAGGATGTCTACTGCAGCTGTTGGCCAATGGTGGATCTTCAGCATCTAGAGCAAAGTTCAACTTCCAAATTACCTGTAATGTTGAATATGGCAGGGAAACCGAAATTTATATATAAGAAAAAGGTTAATCTCCAAAAATGCAAAACCTAAGAAAGGTTTTATTTTTGGATCCCATTGTGTCTTACACTACTTTCATGGGACCTCACATCTGGTTCCTCTTCCCTGCAGGGCATGCTGCTGAAGCGAAGTGGCAAGTCACTAAACAAAGAGTGGAAAAAGAAGTACGTCACCCTGTGCGACAACGGCGTGCTGACCTACCACCCCAGTTTACATGTGAGTACAGCTGCATGGGGCAGAGGCAGTGGCAGAGCCAGGGCCAGTCCTCTGCCTCCCCGTGAAGAGGGCAGTGTGTTAGGTCCCCTGAGATGTGTATAGTGCAGTCAGGCCCTCGGGCCCCCGTCTCAGGTGTTAATCTAGGGCTCTCGATACTACAGTGGATTACAGTGCCAGTTCCATCTGAAGTCACATTGTAAATGGAAGTGGCAAAGTGGGGTAAGCCCCGAGAGCCAAGAGAGTGACTGTGAAAACCTAAGCTACAACAGCTGAATTTGATCCCAGGGCCCAGCTCCGAGCAGCTAAGAGCAAAGCCAGTTGTAGATGTCGTTGGCCGCGGTTGTCATGCCGAAGTAAATAACAGGCACCAACTCAGAAAGCAGGAAAACTGCTTCTCTGGAGGATGTCACCTTCGTGCTTTCCGTAAGATTCTGAAAGCAGACTCGGTTCTGTTCTGGCAGGAATCTGGCCATTCTGTCCACAGTGAATCTTTTAAGGTGGACTGTTCATTTTGGTTCCATGAACTCCTGCAGAGTTTGAAATTTAAAATCTGCACCATTAGTCCTTGGATTTTGTCACTCTGTTAACAAGAAGTTTAAATAAACATACTGAGCAGAAGTTGAAAGCAGTCTACGTGGCTGAATGCTGGGAGTGTAGGTGTCTGTGTCTCCGTGCACATGGGCTTGGTGCTTCCACAGACAGGCACACATCCCACCGCCTGCTCATCTCATTTTTGGAAAAACACAGCATCATTTTGATGTTTATATAGTATTCCACCATTCCACTGCATGTATATAGTCTGAGTGCTTCAACAGCATCTCAGAACAAAACAAAAATGAGACATTTGACAAATAAATTTGACACCCTTCCCCCTCCCCCCATTATTATAAGTAACTCTGGATGGGCTTTCTCCTGATATCCTTATCTGTTTCCCTAAGACAAACTCCCAGTCATTAGTTTGCAGAGCTGTAAGGTCTATGCAACATCAGTAGCTTGAGCACACACCGTTGGATTCTAGGACCCATATGCCCACTTATCTCCCCAAAGAGCATTTGGTGAGGGGCCTTTTCCCTGCACACTCAAGAATGGTCACATTTTGAAAAAGCCTTTTTCCTGGCATGCTTGGTGTCCTCCTGTGGTTTGTTGCTGCTGTGACTGACCTCTTCCTCTTGGCTTAGAGCAGTAGCTGTACCTTTCAGAGCCACGTTAGAAAGCACCTGCTTCCCTCCCGATCCCTGGCTGGCGTGTGGTGCTAATGACACCTATATACATGAAATAAAATAATTTAAGAAAAATTATATCACTTTTCCTCAAGACTACCAAGGCCCAGAACACTTAGCTGCCCTTAGGAGAAGATATATATGAGGGTCTCAAGGATTTAAGGCTCATTGCTGGATCCTGATGGGGTGGGTGCAGGGCAGTGTGCTGTGAGATCCTTAGGTCCCCTCTGTGTGGACTTAGATAGGAGCCGTAGGGAGCACCATGATGGAAAAAACAGAGGGGATAATGAGAAAGAACCTTTGCCCCGGGGCTCTACAGCGCAGCATGGCCACCTATTCATCTTCTGTGTCGGGGGAACAGCCACTTGCATGGCTGACGATCCTGCTCTTGGAGTCGGCTGTGTCTGGTGGGCTTCCTAAGTGGGCCTGGAAGAAGTGACCCCTGCGAACATGAGCATTGTGTTATGGGACCCTGTGTGAGCAAGCACACCGCAGTCGCCCAGCTCTGCTTTCCTTGCCAGCTGCACAGCCGACCCCTGGGCATCAGACCAGTCTAGTGTGTATGAATCGCTTTCCCCTTCTTGGGCTTCCTTTCTCCTCCTCTCTGATACCCTCTTGAAACCAGATCAGCCCTGGGTTGTTGTTTTTTTTTCTCCCCAATACATAAAATTGGAACCGAGCTCTAGAAGGGACATGGTTTACTCTGTATCTCCCTTAGCATTTGGGTGGCTAAGGCTCTCTGGTTATATAGCAAGGGATGGTTGTATGTGCTGTGAACCTTCAGTTCAGTGCTGCCTCTGGAAACTGTCATCAGTATGCAGATTTTAATAGCTCCAGATTTCACAGGCAGACAGGAAACTGCTGACTGACACAGCATCAGAAAGGGGTCTGAGATGGTTCCTACGCAGATGTGAAGGCCTTTTCCCAGGGAAAGAGCCTGTGTTAGCAGGAAACTCCTCTCATAGCACCCCTGCGGCAGGTGCGCACTGGCCATCCATCGCTTGGAGGAGGCAGCATCTCTGGTCGTGTCTTCCCCAGAGCATTCCTACAGCATCCCCACATCTGCCAGCATGGACCTCCCATTTCCTGAGGTAGAGAGCAAGCAGTTACGCTCAAAGCCCTTGGGTGGTGGTTCCAGAGCCATGCAGAAATCAGAAAAGCCCCTGCCTCAACAGCAAGGTCCCAGGTTCAAAAAACCTTCTTCTCATTCCCACGTGGAGAGCCCTTTTACAGGAAATGGCCAGCTTTCCTGTGTCTCTGGCATGAGCCTGGTCAATGAGTCACGTTGATGACAGGCTGCTTCAGTTTGCTCACTTGTTTTATGATTAGCGATTTCTCATCTTGCATCCCCATGAGTAAGCACCTCGTGGCTCTGTGCTGTTCACCATCTGTCTGGCCTATGTGTTACCCAAGCTTTGCTCAGTGCTTGGGGGTAACATTGCCGAGTGTGGATATCAGGTTTTGTGGCTTTGTAGGGTCCTTGCTCCAAGATGGCCTTGGTTCCAGACCTCACTATGTGGATATTTGACCACAATGTGTGTACTCAGACATCACCACAAGCTCTCTCTGTCGTGAGCGTGGCATACTGGCTCCTAAGTATGGTTTCAGCTTGGCCTGCTCCTCCTACCCCTGGTACCTCTGAGCTTTCTCTCAGCTTCTCACACTTGCCTGTCCTCCTGCCTCCACATCTTCAGGGGCAAGTTGCCTCTGCTAGGATTATTTCTTGTTCCTCCCCACTTGGACTTGCCCTCCATCAGACATGTTGAGGTTCCCCTCTGGGCTCTTCATGGGATCGTTTCTCTTTTCTTGGCTTTTTTCAGAACCAAATTCTTTCACAGGATGGGGCACAACTTGTGTCCAGAGCCCTTGTAGATAATACCACCAGCATATCTCTGGTGTCTGCCAGGTGGTAGGTGGGTGGGTGGTGGGTTGAATGGGTGAGGGGATAGAGGAAGTAGATGGAGTAGGTAAGGTGGTAGGTGGGTAGAGTCAGGTGGATAGATGGGTAGGGGACAGGTGATGGGAAAGTGGGTGCATGTTCTGGTAGGTAGAGGTCAGCAGATAGATGGTGGAGGAATGCATGCTGAATGAACAGGTAGGGGAAGGAGGGAGGGAGGAAGGAAGGAAGGAAGGAAGGAAGGAAGGAGGGAAGGAAGGAAGGGTGGATAGATAGGCACCGAGTGCACCTATGTGCTTGGCCTGCCCTTAAGTCTGCAGGGCTAGAGTTCCTGAGGTCATAGAAGAAGAATCCACCCAGTAATGCTTTTAAACCACAGGAAAATGGCACAGCTCCATCCAGAATCTTCTGTGAGGAATAGATGTGATTGATGGAGAGGGTCTAGAGGAGTAGTTGATTGATTTTTACTCTTTGCTTTTTGGGCGGGGTCACTCAGCTCCAAAATAAATGCAGGCTTATTCTAATTTAGGAATGCCCGGCCTTAGTTCGGCTTATTGCTAGCCAGCTTTTCTAACTTAAATTATCCCATCTACCTTTTACCTCTGGGCTTTTATCTTTTTCTCTTCCCTCCCTCCCTCCCTCTGTTGCTGGTTCTGAGGCTGAGTGGGTAGCCCCTAATTTCTTCCTACTTCCTCTCTTGCTACTCAATTTTTTCCCCCAGATTTCTCCTCCTATTAATTCTCTCTGCCAAGCAGCCCCACCTATTTCTCTCTCCTGCCCAGCTATTGACTGCTCAGCTCTTTATTAGACCAATCAGGTGTTTTAGGTGGGCAAAGTAACACAGCTTCACAGAGTTAAACAAATACAGTATAAAAGAATGCAACACATCTTTGCATCATTGAAACAAATGCTCCACAGCATAGACAAATGTAACACTTCTTAAAAAAATATTCCATAACAGGAAGGTGCCTTGCTTTGCTTTTTAATTGTAGTAAAATACACTGCTATTCTGGCCACTGTTAAGACACTTAGTGGTAGACTTCTTGGCTGGCGTGTCCAAGGTCTCAGGTTGGTCCTTAGTATCACCAAGAAGAGAAAAGACAGCTGAGCGACATTGTCACTCACAGCTGTGCTTCCCTTCTCCCGAACTCGCTCTTCTTTCCAAGTGTAAACTCAGTCCCTGTTCATACTGCTCCCCCAGCCCTCTGCTTAGATTCTTCTGTGTTCTGTCTCCACACTTGACTATTGTAGGACCTCGTTGGTGGAGTCACTTGGCATCATGGTATCCTCAAGGTTCCTAGTTGTAGCATGAGACAGAATGTCTTTCTCTTTCAAGGCGTAGGATGTTCCATGTTAGGGTCAGAGTATGTTGAGTTAAGGTATTCATCCTCTGGGGAAACTATTGTGAAGCCACAGAGGAGAAGCATGGAACACTCCTTGGAGCTGTGTTAAACGCTGCTTGTGGGAAAGCTGTCTCCACGGGTGTATCAGCCTGCCAGGGCCCTGCTTAAGTGAAGCCCATGGGATATTCTCCAGGCTCAGTTCTGAGTACGGAGAATCATGGGAGTTTGACAACTCCATTGGCCACCCCATGGTCACATGGTCTCCCCCAGGAGAGGGGAGGCCTCCTACCTGTGCTTTGGGTGACCTGGTAAATTACTTGTAACAGCATTTAATCTGTGCCACATTTATGGAATGGCTCTGATGTGACAGTGTTTTTAGGGCAGTGTCTGCAGGGAAACAGGGCCCTGGGAGACCCAGGCTCCTTTAGACACAGCGTTGATTCTTTGTCAGAGCTTCATTTTGTTCAAGGAATTTATTTTATGCTGGTACTCCAGGTCTTGGACAGCATTTCAGATTTTAAAATAGAAGTGAGGCTGCAG